GCTCGCACGGCCTCCGCCTCCTCGTAAAACGCGTTCCCCCTCCCCCACGCCTCGTCACGGCCAACGGTCCCCCCTCCCACGCCCCTCGCCTCCCACGCCCTCCTCCCACGCCCGCCTCCTCCCACGCCCTCCTCCCACGCCCGCCTCCTCCCACGCCCTCCTCCCAGCCCCCCCCTCCCAGCCCTCCTCCCAGCCCGCCGCCTCCCAGCCTCCCTCCCAGCCCGCCGCCTCCCAGCCCGCCACCTCCACCACCTCCACGCCCTCCTCCTCCTCCAGTCCTTCCGTCGCCAGTCTTGGCAGTGACGGTAAACAGCGACCACACCTTCACTTTCAGAGTAACAACAACCGGTTACTACGTTGCTCTCCTGAACGTGTACAAGAATGCAGCCCGGCAGTACCGCTGGGTGATAACAACAAAATCTTACACATACACCAACACCCCCACCAACAAATGGGCGGCGGGCGTTGTTACGACATGGGACTGCATTGCAACCGATGCCAATGGTTGGGATTCGGAAACATCGAACCGGGTCACAGTCACTTTCAAGTGATGTTGGGCCCCACCACCCAAACCGCCATCTGTGTGCCACCCCTGAACAGCCCTGGCCCCACGCCCACTACTTCTCGCTGTAATCACCTGCTGCATTACACATGTGTGGGACACGGCCTGCCCAAGGTCAGGGTGCAGGCCTGGCCTGACCAGGTATGTTTATATGGGGTCATCAGAAGGTGCCGTTGGGTTCCCTTCCACACGTTTTTGTGAATTTGCAGGACACCTGAAAAATGGGTACCACATTTCGCTGTCTGACTTGCTCACTGGAGTCGTATTAATGTTGCTGCATTATCAAGCATGCCCTGAAACGTGAAGCACAGCTGAGTGGTATACCCTGTCAGGCACCGTAGCACATTCCTGAGCCTTGTATCATCTCGAGACCTCTGCATGAAGTCAGGAAGGCCCTCGTGCTGCCTGACGACAGAAAATTTAGTCCAGAGCACGGGCAGTGAAACGCAATCGGTATTCCGCAGCCGTATTAATACACCTGCAGCCCGTTTACCTGGGTGCAGCTTCTGTAGGTGTGCGGAATGAGACATCAAGAACCCCCACGCATGCATTGCTGTTACATCCAATGCTGCTCCCTCTCATGCCTCCACCTTTCTGTTATAAACTCGTCACAGGTGGATCTCAAAGGGGTTGGTCGCGGCTCTCACTCAGCAAAACTTGCCTGTGACGATCAGACGATATTCGTACGATGCGCTCCTTGACACTACTTGCTCGAGACCACATGTTGCGGGGATGCCGGCCGACACTCGTTACACCTTCGCAGCCATGAGCAGAGGTGGGGACGCTGGGAGGGAGACTCAGTCACAACCTTACCAGGAGCCACGCCCAGTGCAAAAGCTCGAATCCCAGCAATGTGGCGCGTTGTCGAGGATCATCGAGAAAGTACGAGACAGGGACAACGGGGAACTCCTCCGGGCGAAAGTCTCTCCCACTCGCCACCTGGCATCCCGACGCGGCACTCCGTTTTGGCCAGGACAAAGGGTATATGAAGTTTGCTTGGCACATCACCAAGATCAAATGTGCATGCTTCCAGTGATATTAATTTCTTCTTTGGCTTGAGCGTGCCGCTGGGCCTCCTGCCACTTGCCGCACGGACACTCCGAATCCGGCGCGGGCCTGGGATTTCCGGACATGGCCAGAAATTCCGTCTTGTACCTGGCACTCGGCCTCCTACTCTGTCAAGATGCTTTGGCGGTATGTGTGTTGGTGATTTACGCATGCGGGCGAGAGGCCGACCCCGCCGTCTTCCCCCCTCCGACAATTGACCTCACAGTCTCATCCTTCATCCTTGTGCGCAGGGCAAGTGCGCGTCCGGCTTCATATCGTTCCCAAGTGTACTGTGAGTTGCTGGGTCGTACATTTGAGACAGCTTCGAGTCCCGCGATGGTCCGAGACCGCCTGCCGAATCCTTCGGTGGCTGTCTTGGCGATAAACCACGCTGCGCTGTCATATCGGGTTTGTTTCAGCCGGCCACGGCCACTTGCCCATCACCTGAACCCTTTGTGGCGCTATCAACATGCAGGTTGGGCAAAGATGTCTACTTCGTGACATCGGACAGCGCGACAGGGTACTGCAGGTGCGCCAAGGGACCGTGGTGGGTAAATCTCCTGATGAGGGACATTGGGCACCAACGACACAGTAGTTCGCAGGATACCATGTGCCACGGTAGCAGACAGGGGCTGACCGCGGCAGAGCTGACCTATCCAGACCGTCTCTTACAACCCCAGGTTGAGAGGCTTCAGCAAGGCGGGCGGGGTCCGGACGACGACCTTGCAAGCCCTGGGGTTGAGCATGCATGCACTGCACCTGTGGCCCCAGAGGGTTGAACGCTCTGGCTCCACCGCCATCCTCCTGGCTGTTGAATGCCTGAAGCCTGGGCAGCATGCCTGCACGGCAGACGACGCCGGCAATGTGGGCTTCAATAACAAGGGGTCGAACAACTTTGGCAACGGCAACATCGGCAGTGGGAACATTGGTGAGTGGTGGGTGGGTTCACATTGGCCTCCCAGCCTCCCATCGTGTTCCTCACAGTCATTCCCCTTCTGGGCCGCACAGGGAACAGCAATGCTGGGGCATTCAATTGGGGTGACAACAATCACGGAAACGGCCTTCGGTGCTTCAACTGCAATGGGGCAGCCTCCAAGACAGCGCCCTGCACTGTGGAGGAGTTCAGGAATCGAGCCGTACATCTGGCTCACCCACCCCCCCGCCGGAATTCGAACCCCCCCATCTCTCCCAAGAGGAGTCCACCTCCCACTCCCAAGAGGAGTCCACCTCCCACTCCCAAGAGGAGTCCACCTCCCACTCCCAAGAGGAGTCCACCTCCCACTCCCAAGAGGAGTCCACGTCCCACTCCCAAGAAGAGTCCACCTCCCACTCCCAAGAGGAGCCCGCCCCCCCCCCCAACGATGAGCCCACCTCCCTCCCCCAAGAGGACCCCCCTCCCCCCCCCAGAAGGAGCCCACCCCCCTCACCAAAGGCAAGCCCGCCTCCGCCGCCACCATCGCAGTCACCAATATCTCCTCCATCACCCCCTCCTCCATCACCCTCACGAAGCCCACCTCGAACCTCCCCTCCCAGCCCGCCGCCTCCCAGCCCCCCT